TTGATTATCTTCTTGAGTTTGATTATCTTCTTGAATTTGTTTATTTTCTAGAGCTTGATTATCTTCTTGAACTTGATTATCTTCTTGAATTTGATTATCTCCTTGATTACCTTCTTCAATTCGATTATTTTCTTGAATTTGATCATCTCCCTGACTATTTTCTTGAGCTTGATCACTTACTTGAATTTGACTATTTATTTGATTATCTTGAGGTGTTGACATTATTGTCTCTGAAATTACTGTGTTAGTTTTAGAGTGCTTAGTATGTTAGAAAAACTAGATATTTTATGTTCTTACCTTATGTGATGTTATATTTATGGTGAATGCTAGATTTAGAGAAAATAATGTAACGTCTGCATATAAGATTTGTTTTAGTTATGCATGGATATAAAACATATTTATTCAAATTATTACAATTATAAATTAAAAATATATGTATGACAGATACTATTGAACATTTATAAGAATTTCGAACAAGGTAATTCGGTGTTAATGTTTAGCGAAACCATTTATTTATGATTAATATTTCACAATGTACAAGGTTTTATTTCATTTTATTTAAAGGATTTTCCTGTATTGCTGATTTATTACGATTTCTACGTATCACATTAGGATATTTGTTTGAAATTTAGTCTGCCATTTTATAATCTAAAGCCGGCAAAAGACGAAAACCTAAAATTGGAAATGATAAAAGATGAAACTTGGGAAACCTTAATGAAGGTCAAAATAGACGAAATCTATATGAATAAAAAGATGGGCTATAATTAATAAGCCATTTTCCTAATATCAATTGATGTTAGGTACTGATGTGATTAGACATAGGAATGCGACTTATATGAAAAGCATTAATTTTTGAAATAAAGCAGGTTTGTTATATATGAGTGTCATCAAAGTATAGGCTTTGATTTTGAGTACCGCCAAGAGAAAATCGGAATTCTAAATTTAAATTAAATAATAATCTAATTTAGAATCCCTGGTATTCACTTGGTGGTACACAATTATAATATGTTTATCGTACATACAGTACCTTCAGTCTTTTTCAAAAAAACCAAAACAAATTAAATAATATACCAAATGTACTGTGTAAAGAGGTAATACTATCACGGGGAACACAATTTTGCCAATTGCTGTAAAATGTTATAATATAACCTACTTTAAATTTCTTATACTTTTCTCAATATTTGTGATATCTTTATAATTGAAATCTGCGGTATACTTTTATTCGTTAGTTGAATTTCTTGTTCTACAAGTGATCGATTTTTTCGAAAATTTTTCCCAAAGAATTCTTCTTTAATTCTAAAAAATACATTGTATCTAAATATTAATTATTGTATGAAAATACCTTTGGTTAGTGTCGATATAACCAGAGTGACGTATACTATGTTTTTTCAATATCAGAATATATCGCCATTGTCAAATAAATGAAAAATGAATCGACAACAATAAAACTTCATCTGGTACCGAGATGAACACGTATTATCGTCAATCATTCTAGTACAATGAACAAATAAAATTAG